GTTATGAACAGAAACAAATAAAATAGATATTTCCATAGACAAGATAAGCATTGGGAAAAAACCCTAACATTAAGAAAATGAGAAAACATTTTTAAAGACTGAAAAAAACTCCAAAAAACTTATCAACCAATGAATACTTGGTTGCTTACCCATTAGTCAATAATAAAATGCTTTCATTTGTTTCACCACACACACACACACACACGCGCACACACACACACACGCGCACACACACACATGAACTGAAGGTTAAATATTTAAAACAAATTCATAAGCAAAACTGTAAAAAAAATATTGTCAAGAAAACTTGATTAGTGTTAGAACTCTTAGGTAGTGCCATATATGGCTAAAATTAACAAATTGAGGAGTAAAGATATGCATTTAAATCAGAAGACTAAAATCAGGCTAGTTGGTGATGGTGAGATAGGCTATAGAAACAATTCTGACTAATAGTGACCCTGTGTGCATTGTAGAAATGTTCTTTAGATACTAGTTTATCTTCTGAAGCACCTTTAGTTAAGTTTGAACTACCAAACTTTAATCTGGTGGTCAAGCATGTCACTGTGTCACTTAGAGAACTGTAGTTGGTGGTGGTGATGGTTGATGTATACCATCTAGTCAGAAGTGACTCATAGCTGACCTTCCAGAGGGTTTTCAGAGGCAGAAACTTTCACGAGAGGAGATTTCTCATCCTTTTCCTGCAGAGCAGCTGGTGCAGGTTCTTACTACTGATAGATTGGTGGGGGGATGAAAACCAAACTTGCAGCATAGTAGTCCATTATTTTTCATTCATTAATCCATTATTTTACCCAGTGATCCAGGAATCCTTATTTTATAATAATAAGTGGCAGCCCAGGAAGACTTTCCAAATGAACTGGTAGACCTCCTTGGGTCATGAATTAGAAACCAAGTATCCCCTTTATACCCTGAATTTTAACCTGGGTTTTAACGCAAGAGTATATTGAATATCAAAGTTCTTTTTTTATCCTCTTTTTTTAAATGAATCTGTTTAATAGTTGTTTGAAGTTGCAAACTACTAGAAATCATTTTTATGATTATAGGGATCTCTCTAAAGTACTGGGGAGCAATGGTGTCTCTTTGGAGACTAAGGTGCACCTGATACAGGCCATGGTCTTTGCAATCACTTGTTATGCATCAGAGAGTTGGACAATGACTAGGGAGGACAGAAGGAGAATTGATGTCTTTGAGCTGTGGTGCTGGAGAAGAGTATTGAATGTACCATGGACTGCCAAGAAAACAAACAGATTCATCCTGGAGAGGATTAAACCAAGCTACTCCTTGGAGGCAAGGATTCTGGGGCTTCGTCTGACATGCTTTGGACATGTTGCCAGGAGGGACGGGTCCTTGGAGAGGGACATCATGCTTGGGAGGGTGGAGGGATGACGCAGGAGGGGAAGACCCTCTATGAGATGAATTAATTCGGTGACTGGGGTAATTGGGATGGGTGTGTCGGAGGCAGTGCGATTGGCACAGGATAGAGCAGTGTTTAGGACTGTTGTACATAGGGTCGCTATGAGTCGCAAAAGACTTGATGGCACATAAAAACAACAACAAGGGGAAAAGGTAATCATAATTTGAAACTAAGAAAAAGCTTTTATTAAAAAAATCTTTTATTTCTTGATTTAAAAATCCTGACATCATACAAGTTTGGCAAATCAAGATTTTGCAGAACAATTTTGTATTTTTATTTTTGTCTTAAAAGTTTCATTATAAAAAGATAGTTAGAAATAACAGTATTCTTCAAATACTCTCGTAGATTGGTATTATACCTTTTCATTCTAACTCTTTAAATAATCAAATGTGTTGAGCTGTTCATAATCCAAACATACAATCTTAAATATAAACTAGTAAGAGTATTTTCCCCTCCCTTTTACCTTCAGAAAGCTATTTGTTGTAGCAGTCAATAAAAAATTGTTGTTCTTATGTGCCATCGAGTCGCTTGCTAATCATAGTGACCTACAACAGCCCTAAACTTTGCTCTGTACTGTGCCAGTCACACTATCTCTGACACACCCATCCTGATTACCCTAGTCACTGAATCAATCCACCTCATAGAGGGCCTTCCCCTCCTGCGCTGTCCTTCCACCCTCCCAAACATGATGTCTCTCTCCAAGGACCAGTCTCTTTCAGTATGTCCAAAGTATGTAAGACAGAGCCTCAGAATCCTTACCTCCACGGAGCCGCCTGGTTTGACCCTTTCCAGGATGAATCTGTTTGTTTTCCTGGCTGTCCATGGTATCCTCAGTACTCTTCTCTAACACCACAGCTCAAAGGCATCAGTTCTCCTTCTATCCTCCTTAGTAATTGTCCAACTCTCTGATGCATAACAAGTGATTGCAAAGACTATGGCCTGTATCAGATGCACCTTAGTCTCCTGAGAGACACCATTGCTCCCCAGTACTTTGGAGAGGTCCCTAACAGCAGACTTTCCCATGGCAATACTACTTATAATTTCCTGGGTACTGGTGCCAAGAGTGTTGACTGTGGAGCCAAGCAAACTAAAGTTGTGAACAATCTCAGTCTCTTCACTGTCCATCCTGATGTTGCCAATTGGCCCAGTGGTGAGAATCTTTGTCTTCTTGACATTGAGCCTTAATCCATATTGGAGGCTGCAGTCCTTGACCCTCTGCAGCAGGTGCTTCAGGTCCTCCTCAGTTTCAGTAAGCAGGGTTGTGTTATCTGCATAACAGAGACTGGTCAATCAAATGTTTATTAATAGTAAAATTAATAAAGTTTGGTTTATTCATAGCATGAATGTTATATAGCCATTTACAGAAATGAGGTACATATGTTAATATAGATAAATTGATAAATAATATTGATAAAAAATTGCAGAATACATATATTATTGCACTTGGGCAAAAATTTTTAAATAACTTCTTTGGTAAATCCTTATAAAAGTAAAAATTTTCTATAAAAATTTAAGAGGATTCTCACTAATTTCCTGCCTAATCTCTGGTACGAGAAAAGATGGTAGTGGTTGCAAAAACTAAATTTCCACAACTTAGGGCTCTTTCTGTAATCTTAAAAGTTTTTATAAATCTTAAAGGTTTTCAGGTAATAGTGTATAACAATACCTTTAGTTATATCCCAAGATTCAAGTACTCTTCTACATGCTTTCACTGTTTTGCTGATGCGTGATAAACGCAAAGAGCAAAAGGACATTGTCATTAAGAGGGAGGAAAACTGGCAAAAAAACTGCCTTCCTTTTTTGCTCTAAAATATTTTATTTTATATCTCTTGTTCTTACGTTGACCTTTCCTAGCCCTTAAGAAATCATGGAAATTTTACTTTAGCTGTTCATGACTGTGACATGAAGTTAAACTAAGTTGGACCAAAGTCAGCTTGGCAAATTGTCATGTTGCTTTTGTATTTATTTCTTTCAACTTTAACACCCACAATTTATTAAGTGAGATTGTGGATCAAAACGGAAATTCAGGATCCGGTTTGGACACCGTTTGAGAAGGAAATCAGGTCTTTATGGGGTACCTCCTTCCGCTCAGTCACTGGCCAGGAAAACTGTCTTTCTGTTTAAAGCCTATTCAATTTGGGAGAGGTGGAGTGACTTTGGGAAGGAAAGTGACCTCTCCCTTGTAATGTGGAATGACTCCATTTCCCCTTGTGACTTATTCAAGTCATTTCCACCACTGTTTATATGAACACATGTTCAAAATACATGTAGTGACAGCAGTAGTCATTTAAAATATAAAGCTCAAACTGTCCTCACATTTCACTTGTTTTCTCAAACTTTCATTATTCCAATCCAAAGCAGTTTTATGTACATTCACTGTGCTAATGCCATTTTAGAGTTAGCAGTTTGCTTTCTAAAAAGCAAAATGTTTAATCACTACGTACACTACCAGGTATAATTACATGAAGGATTACTACTTTCAGATCTGAAAAGAGAATGACTTTAATGGAAGCAAAATCGTTTCCAACATAATATGAAATACTTTACATGGTGGAGTCAAGAAACAGACTGGTGGGAGGCGCTGCTGGGGCTTGTGGGCCAACCAGGCTGAGGAGAGACTTGTTTCTGCTGATTGTTACCTGGCCCTCTGTTCCCAGGTGATTTGGAATAATGTCTGCCCATTTTGCTACATTCATTCATTAGTTCATTTTGCATGGTTCTCAGCTAGGTTGTTTTCTTTTAAAAAAATATTTAGGTCTTAAAATATGTTAATGAACTTTTAAGTTTGGTAGATTTGCAATAGAGTCGCAGAGATAATGAAGAAATTTTTAACATATGTTTCACTTCTTTTTATGTTAGAACCAACTGATTGCTAATGCATTTCAGAGACTGTAAAGGGGTTGGGGAGAGATTTCCCATCTTTCTCTTGTTGCAAAGCAGTTGATGGATCCAAACCGTGTGCCTCTGGGTTACTGGCACAACTCTTACTGCAGAGCCACCAGAACACCCTTATACTCTACTTAGTTTCCTCTAACATTGGCATTCCATCCTGCTGATACATTTTTTTTAAAGGAGCAGATGTTGGTTCATTATTATTAACTAAAGTCCTGTTCTTTTATAATTTTTATCATCTCTCCAGTTGACCTGCTACTGTCCTTTGTCTATTCTATGATCCAACCCAGGTTCTGGAGCTATATAGAGTAATAATATCTCTGTAGTTTCTACTAATCTGTTGAGAGTCTCTTCATTTTTATTTATTCCCCATGACCTTGACAGTCTTGAGGAATACGAGAACTGAACAAGAATTTTATAGACTATTCAGCATTGTTTTAATCCATAAAAATGTATAGCTTTTGGAATTTTGAATGAAGAGTCCATGCATTATTAATAATAATCAGATAACTTCTCATCTACCTCCAGATCCTAGAATTAAAACTTGCAGCAAACATTTCTCAGTATTTGCTTTATCCATCCTTTTTTCATTCTCAGCTTTGTCAAACTCAGTTCTAACTATTAAACTATGTTAGGAAGTTTACACTAATACTTATCTTTCTTTTTGTTGTTGCAGATTAGAGATGGGCAAACAAATTGTTATGTATTGAAGAATAAAGATTTAGAGCAAGCATTTAAAGGAGTTATTTATTTGGAAATGGACCTCATATATAACCCAGTAAGTCAACCTGTCCACACTTCCTAGTTTCTTCATACCCAACATAAGAAGCTTCTAGAGTCTGAAATCAAGAAAAATTGTTCCAGACTTGCTGTGTCTGGAGAAAGGGAAAACAGTGGTGTGTCTGACAGTATGCTGCGCCCATGTCGAACCAGGAGAATTGATGTTGTTTAATTCTCAATGTCTCTTTATGTCAAGGGAGAAGAAGATGAACAGTAAAGGGAAAATAACTTTAGGTATATTTTTCTGTCATTTTCTTGCAGGGCAACAAGAGGTTATTTGGACAAAATATTTCAGACATTTTCAGTATGATTCAATTACTGTAGTTGGCACCCTAGTATATAGCACAATCTAGAGAAGTTCATTGAAAGTGGCAGTTAAAATAGAAAATAATTTCCTCTAAATGCACCGTGTTGTTGTTATATGCCTTTGAATTGGTTCTGACGTACAGTGATTCTGTGTACGGTAGAACATGCCATTCCTGTGCCATCCTCATAGTTGTTCATATGATTGAGCCTGTTGTTGCTGGCACTGTGGCAGTTCATTTCACTGAGTGTCTGCTACTAAGCAGGATATCTTCTTCCAGAACTGGCCCTTCCTGATGATACACATACTAAAGTATGAGTGATGAAGTTTCCTGAGATGACACATTTATATCCTTGCTTCTAAGAAGCAGTTCAGTGTAAACTATGCACATATACATTAATTTGTCGACCTTTAAGATATGGTCAAGGACTCCCAACTTTTTTTCCCTTTTGAATTTGGATGCTATTTTTGTTTGTTTTACAGCACATTCTTGCATTAATCAGGTCCATACATATAATTTGCAGCTTCATTCAGTTTCTTTAAAGTGAGGGGCACTTTAGAGGCACTTAATAAACAAGCTGAGTATACAGTTCTTCGAGATTTTCCCCCTCTTCAAAAACATAACCCCAAATTTTGGGTATTTTTTTAGTGATTAACTTTTTCAAGGTTCTCTAAAGCAATAGATATTTCAACTTTCTTGATCATGTTTTAATACTTAGAGTAATTGCAGCAACAGGTGAAAAATAGGCTTGAGAACAAGTGCAGTGATCTGAATGTATGTGTACAGTCTCTTGAACACACTGGACTGTGGGCGACAAGCTGGAAACTCTGAGTACATAGAGATGTCAACAGAACTTGCTATCGAGGGAAGCAGAGCAATTCTGCTAGTGGTAAAAATACAGGGAATCTTGGTAGGGAAGAGCTGTGCTGTAAGTAGTCTAGTACGGCTGTCATTATTGACTACCCACTCTGTGTTAGGTTCTGACTGTATCTCGTTCAGTCCTCACCACACATCTGGTAGACAGGTGCCAGCATTTCCATTTTATGATAAGCAGATTTATTGATTTCCACATTTCTTCCAAGTCACTAATAAGAAAAAAAAATAATAAAAATACAAAGAAGAAAAATGAATTTGATGTAAGTGCTGCCATATTTAACAATAATGTCTTTGTAGGTCAAAGCAAGTATCAGAACCTTTACTCCAAGAGAAAAGCGCTTTATTGAAGACAGCCGCAAGCTCTCCAAAAAGGTAGGTCAATACAGCAGATCAATACAGCAAGCTGACTTGTTAAGACACCCAGGACTTGAAGCACTTGCATTGTTTTTTACTTGTTTGTGCCTCCTACTCTCTTTTCTTTCTCCTCTAACCAAGATAAGGTCTTCAGATCAATAAGAAGGATGTTTAAAAATAACCAAAACACAAAGAAATAGAAACAAGGTTTATTCAGAGGAGTTATTCTAATATGTGTGTGTGCACGTAGGAAGACCATTATGATTCCTCACTTCCCACTCCCAAAATAGTAAAAGTCTGCAAGTACACTGTGACAAGAAGTATAAAAAGAGAGGAGGAGCCAGATGATGGAAAAATCAGCATTGGCGATCCAGAATGTGATTAATTGAACTCTGCTCTCGCCTTTTCACCGAGATCAACTGATCTCTGATGACTTGGGAGTCTCTGACCTCCCCCACTTTCCCTCACCTATATTTAGGGTATCTTTTAAAATTTGAATTAAGTACATTTGATTTAGAGCAGGCAAGAGAAGATTAGCAATTTGAGGTGAAAACAAACCACTAGGAGAATCTAGTTAGGATTATTTTTATGATCCTCATTGTCTTGACTGTTAAGAAAAGCCCTAAATTTTAAAATAAAAGCCCTATAAGTTCTTTACCTCTTTGAGGATGGGAAAATAATAAAATAATAAGTAATAAAATACTAAAACTTAAAAATACCTACTTGAGAAATAGAGGTTCCTCCCTGGATTATTCACTTTGGGTTATTCTGTAAATACGAATTTCTGTTGTTTATGCATGTTCTTTCTCCTCTCTTCCAGAACCAGCCCACAGTGATTTGATTCTGACTCACTGTGGCCCCTTGTCAATCACTGTAGAACTGTGCTCCGAAAGGGTTTTTAAGGACTGACTTTTTGAGAAGTAAATCACCAAGCTTTTTTCCTGACCTTTGGGTGGCCACAAATCTCTAACCTGTATGGTAAAAGCTAAGCCTTGGCTATACTTCCAGCCTGCACTACCCAGGAATTCCTTGTCTCTTCCTCTGTGTGATAGCCTTTTTCATTTCAGTCCAGTGGTATTTCTGTCAGGTGTTTTGGCCTAGGAGCCATTGATGAAATTTACCCAGCAGTTCTTTAGGAAATTCTAACCCTAGAGTCACTCAACTACTCTCACTGCTTTTGTCTGATCTTAATGTATGATTCACATTTAACCCTGTTCACCCCAAACTGATGTGATGGGCCCAGTAAAAGAAGGCTCACAATTTTTTAGGATGACCTTTACATTTCTTGTCAGAGTCGTCACCCCCCCCCAATCCTACTCAGACACAATTCAGTATTTCACTCAGTACCTATTGTTTCTCCTCAGTTGTGTAACAAAGGACAGAGTGTCCCCTTTTTAAAGTGTTTATTACTTCCACCATTTCATTTGGGGTGAGCAGCTGCAGATTACATAAAGCTGTTAAATAGAAGGGCATCTTATCGTCCTTTTCTTTCCCATGAGCTACTGGGGACACTTTGGAGAAATACTTCAACTCCTCAAGAGAAACATCCAGATGTTTTGGTTTATTCTGCCATAGCACTGAGTGTAGTATTTATTCTATGAAATCAGAGTAAGTCTCTTATGTTTTTATTATTATCACCTTTTACTCTGTTAATTTGAAAAGTAAACCTGGGTTGAGGCAGGTGGAGTTGTGGCGTTAGAACTGGGAAAGAAGTTATTTTCTTTACAAAACTACCTCCATGTGAGGTGCTTTGGTTTAAGAGAGTACCTGGAGATTTGAGGATAAGATCTTCATAAAGGTCAGGACCCTCTCTACATGCCTCTCATTACTTTGTCTTACCAGATTTTCTGTAAGGCTGAAATTCTGCTTGTACAAATACTTCAAATAACTTATTATGTGCTAAGTATCTAGTGGAAGCCCTTTGGTTCTCTCGACTACCTATGATTAATAGTAATGTCAACTCCACTTTATAAGAGAGGGGTGAAGAAACTTATCCAACATTACACATCCATGAAGGAATAGAATTGCACTTTGTGGCCCCTATCCTCTGTACACATGCTGTTCTTTTAGATCTTTGCAGACCAGCTGAAATATAATCCTTGCATGAGTCTACATAACTCACCTGTTCCCCACTAAGCTAAAAAAATTAATGCCCACCTCATATCCTAACTTCCTCCTCTTTCTCCTTCTCTTCTCTTATCTCTGCCCCCAACCCACATGTACTCGTGTATGCACACGTACAAATTCAGCACATCACATACCTGGTTGCTGCAGCTTTATGCAGAATACTATTAAAACAGATTGTTATTTATCAACTAACCTATATGGATTGAAGCTCAACATCAAGAAAACAAAGATTCTCACCACTGGGCAAATTGGCAGCATCAGTATGGATGGTGAAGAGATTGAGAGAGTTAACAATTTTAGTTTACTTGGTTCCACAGTCAACACTCTTGGTAACCGCAGCCAGGAAATCAAGTGATGAATTGCATTGGGAAAGTCGGCTGTGAGGGACCTCTCAAGAGTACTGAAGTGCAACAATGTCAGGCTGGAGACTAAGGTACACCTGATCCAGGCTGTAGTCTTCGTAATTATGTGCCATGCATCAGAGCGTTGGACAGTGAATAGGGATGATAGAGGGAAATTGATGCCTTTGAGCTGTGGTGCTGGAGAAGAGTGCTGAATATACCATGGAGTGCTAGGAGAACAAACAAATTTGTCCTGGAGAAGGTGAAGCTGGAATGCTCCTTGGAGTCAAGGATTCTGAAGCTTCGTCTGACATACTTTGGGCATGTTGCAAGGAGGGATTGGTCTTTGGAGAAGGACATCATGTTTGGCAGAGTGGAGGGGTGGCGAAGGAGAGGCAGACCTTCGATGAGATGGATCGATTCTGTGACTGGAGTGGTGGGAATGAGTGCATTTGAGATGGCTAGGTTGGCACAGGATAGAACGGTGTTCAGAGCTCTGTACACAGGGTCGCTATGAGTCGCAAGCGACTCGATGGGAGATAACAACAACAACAACAACAAGCTATAAAATTTTTTTCATATTTTCTTTTCGTCTATGAAACTTTTATAAAAGACTTTCAAGCAGTATCAGAACTTTCCTACTGTGCTATTTGTGTGTGTGTGGTTTTTTTTTAAATAATCAGTAGCTTGATGAACTGTCAGTTCAAAGACCAAGTTAAATGATCAAAAGAGAATGCAAGTATAGCCCTTTGTTTTTTCATTTTGTCTTATCAGATTTTATCAAGAGATGTAGACCGTGTGAAAAAAATCAGCATGTCCATATGGACTACAATACAGTTTCTTAAAAGCTGTTTCCAGTGGGAATCCACAGTGAGAAGTACAATTGCATTTGTGGTAAGCTTAAGTTTTTTAAAAATTTTATTTTATATTGGTTTGCCTACAAAGTTCATATACATTGTGTTTCACATTATTCTTCATTCACATAGTGTTTCATACAGTCATTCCCATACATTAAGTTTTAATCACCATTGGACTATGTGCGTCATTACCCTGTCTTTTCAGGTCCCCACACAATCTGTACTATTTCCTTTAACCCCTCTCTCTACCCAGAAAATTGTGCAGTCTTGGCATTTTACCCGTACTCATCCTCACCCCTCTGTCCCAACCCCCTTCCCCTCTGATCCCCATACATGTGTTTTACTAGCTATCCTTCTATTTTCACAATAATTGTCTAATGTAGTGTTAGCTTAATTTTTAACTTTGTACTTTCTCTTGCTCAAATACTTTGTTTTGAGTTCGAAAGTAAAGAAAGAGTCTGTTTTGTTGACTTGAAGTAGAATGATACATGTTGAAATTAATAGAAATTTATACCAATAAGGAAACTTAAAAAAAAAAAATCAGTAGTATCTGTCTGACCTTCTAAAATGTAGCATAGTGTACGTGAATCTGTCTGACCTTCTAAAATGTAGCGTAGTGTACGTGAATAAGTGGGAGTTGTATTTCTATACCTGAGCAAATTTGCTCTTCAAAATTCATAACATTTCCAAAATCTTAAAAGAGAGCAATATGTTACGTATTTTGAAATATTTTTGTAGTTATAACTGTAATTTATAATAGACACTGCATCATATGTAGCTCTTTTCTATAAAAGTTATTTACAGCCATTTTTTGTTAGTTGCAGTTGAACTATCATACCAATATAGATAAACTCAAAATTTTACAACATTCTTTCTTTTATCATAAAAGGTTTAATATAAATCAAGAAAATAAGACTAACATGATTTGTTTTATTTGTACATTTAAGTAAACCATCCACATATTGATAAAAAAAATGGTATAAATACGCTTGAGAGATAACTGATCACTAAACATCAAAACGTGAGCCTACACAATGAATGGGAAGGCCTAATGTAGGTAAATGCACTCTTCCATGACTCTGGTAACATTAGACCATTGCTGTGAGGGTAAGGAGGGAACTCTGGTAGACTTTTGGTCATAAGCTGTGCAGCAGTTACAAAGTAGGTGGTCCAAATCCACCATCTACTACACAGGCAAAAGGTGTGCATTCTCTTCACACACAATTTACTGCTCCTGAAAACCCTCTGGATGGTCAGCTGTGGGTCAGTTCCGACTCGACGGCACACAGCAGCAACAATATGAGGGTAATACGCTCATACTGTTTTAGAGTGGGAGATATCTTGAGGCCTCCTGATTTGATAACTTAAGAGTTGAAGAATCCCTGAAGGACTTCCAAGTCAGTTCAAGACACTTATTTCCCCTGGATCTTTTCCATAATATGAAAAGGGATCTGTCCTTGATTAGACTGATTGTTATTCCTGGGAAGAGAATCTAGATTTCTCAACTTCTCCTTCTGCACATTTTATATTGTGCCATTAATTTTGCCCTGTGTAACATTCATTCTTTGGTTTAATGTCATACATAAATGGTTGAAGAGTGAATATAGGTCAGTATCCTGGGAAGTCTGATTGTGTGCTTTTTGTTTACATGGTTCTTCTGCCTCCTGATTTCTGTTGCTGGTTATCCTCAATGTTTTCTGTTAACCCACAGGTTTACCCTTATTAGGGGGAAAAAAGCAAAAAAACAATTAGCCTGAGAGATCAGTAGGCTGAAGGTCACACCGTATCTTTTACAGATTAATGGGAATCCACTCCAAGACTTTCTCTTCGCCTTAGGAGAGCATTTTGTTTGGTCTTGTTTATTTTACGATTTCATTGTTTCAGTGTGTAGAGCACCTGCAGTTGCTGGAAGATGACCTTTAATATACATTTTCAGCTCTTTGAAGTTGCTAAAATATCCGGCCTTAATAAATACATGAAGAAGGATCTTATTAATCCATGTCTGTCTTTGTCTCAGGTAGCATTAGTGCCAGCATTTATTTGTCCACTTCTGTCTCCTGTTCTCCTCAGCTGGTATCTCTTCAAGTCAGGAAACTTTCCTCCTCAGCCCCCCTGGCTCCACTTCACATTCCCTTTAACACTCTGCACAGAATGTGCTAAGCAGTTCTGGGCAGAAGGAAAAGTGAGCACAATTGGTGGCTTCTTCCAGTCATCACTTCAGCCTGCTGCTGCGAGGCTGAAGAAAGGATTTCCTCCTTTTCAAGCTTCATTTCTGGCATGGTGGCTTTAGGAAAAGAGATCTGTTGCCCTGGATTTTAGAAGGGAATGAGAGAAATGATTAATGGACTTGCCGGCCTCATCTGAGGAAAGATTAGAACAAATGAATAAAAATGGGTTGTCTAATGGAAGCCCTCTAAGGAGAAGGGGGCCTTGGCAGTGGGGCCGTCTCCCCTCCTGTTCATTGGATGGGTCCTCTCTACTGGGCACTCACTCAGCAGAGCCCTCTGCCAGCCTCACACATGCTGGCTGCCATCTCACTCTCAAATCATTCCGTTTCAAAGAGCAGAGGATAAAGGGGTTGTTTTTCTTGCTGGCTTTCCAATTTGTGATTTTTGTGAGGATACTTGTGCTGATGGAGCTGTGGGAGGCTCCACTGTGTGTTTGTGTAGGTGAGATATTTTCCATTGGGCATCACTGAAAACAAACCCTGAGTCAATAAGGAATGATATTCATGGAAATTTCACCTTTTGTTTGTCCTCAAGTTGGTGAGCAGTGTTCTGACAAACATGTTGAAGTTTTCATTGTTTTTAAAGCTCCATGTGCTAATGTTTATACCCCATTTATACTGACTCACCATGGTGAATCTTAGAGCTAGAGAAAATACCAAGAGGTTTGTAAGCTGATGATACATGATTTTATTAAAGGATGGTTTTGTTGGTATTGTCATGATGAGAAAGGTGAAAGTTTATTTTTGGTGAAAGCAAGAAATTCTTTAAAAAATTCATAGGATAAAATTATACATATATGTGTGTATAGCTCTGGTGACCTAGTGGTAAGGAGCCTAGCTATAATCCCAGAGGCACACAGTTCAAATCCACTAACTTCTCCATGGGAGAAAGATGAGCAGTGTCCTCCCTTATACCAGAATTTAATTAATTTACTCTTCTTCTTTATCTATTATCTATCTACCTATCTATCATCTATCTACCAGAATTTCATTTAATCTTCTTTTTTATCTCTGTATCTTTCTTTGATAAACATGTTATTATTGTTACTGTTGCATACTATTGAATTGGAACCAATTCATAGCTGACCCTCCATCAGGTTTTCAGAGATAGTTCAGCACATGGGAGGAGATAATCCATTTGGATTCAAACCGCATGCCTTTGGGTTAACAATGCAGCTCTTTACCTTTAAGACACCAGAGGTCCCTAAAGCATAAGCACAGAGGTGGTCAAGTCTTCATTTCGCTTATGGGTCATTACGCTTTTTTATTGGCTATCATCTGGGAGAGTACATTCTCTGTTGTGTTTCTGCAAAAGGTTGGGTCCTCAGTTGACCTAGGTCAGAGAAAGAGGGCAAAAGTCTATGAAGATCAAGCCAACCTTCTCCTCAGCTTTACTTCACTGTGGAATGAGCAGTGTTTGTCTCTACTGTCCACTCTGCTTGATGACTTCCTGATATCCAGTGAGGAAAGAATATGCTTCTTGTCTTTATTCGTCAGTGCTACATTTTCCCTGCACTCAAGCAATTTGCCTTGGTTTTATGGTGACAGAGCTATTTTGTGTCAATCTGAAGCAATGGCTTAGACCAATGTTTTATTAAGCAAACTGACTGTATCTGAGGGTCCTTTCCTCCCAATATTAGAAGTTAGAATATGATATTCACAGGTTTATTGTGTTGTTGTTGTTGTTGTTATGTGCTGTCAAGTGGCATGTGACTCATAGCGACCATTCTACATGAACCTGATGGGGTACTTCTTTCCCCTGCCACCTTCAGAAACAAGAAGTGACGCTGAGCTCCACAAGCCAGTGGCAGAACTAACAGAGTTGTCTGTTGTCACCCAATTCTGTTTTCTCAGATAACATAAGAACTTTTGCTAACATTATGTTTTTATTCTCTATTTCCAGATGATACACAGCAAGACCATTATAGAATAACATTTAGTATATTTTGGTGTGAGGAGAGACCGGTCCTTGGAGAGGGACATCATGCTTGGGAGGGTGGAGGGACAGCGCAGGAGAGGAAGGCCCTCTATGAGGTGG